GTAACGGGACCATCGCCGTGCTTTAGGTTTCAGTTACACGTAACAAGCAGGAAAAGTTTTTTAAATTTTGCAACATATCCTACCTGAATATTCGAGAGGTGATTACCGTACTCTTAGTTCAAAGCGAAACAGCTGTCATAAACGTACTTAAGATAAACTGAACATCATGGTGATTTTTACAGTTAGAATGACGATGAAATAAGGAAGAAACATCGGTTGGACTACCGTCCTATAGACTGATTCTTTTCGCTGTTTGGGTAGACTTTTTCTACTGTATTTCGGTAATTATGTACTGCAATTCTACTATTTTAGCTATTCAATAACTGATCTACCTCGTATAACGTTTAAACAATATGCAATGATCGGCACGTCTGGTAGAAGCAGGTTGATGATTTTGATACAAGAGCAATTTTACGTACTTCGACCTTAAGCAGTATAGGACAAAACATATTATAGGAGAAATATCAAGAAAAATAACACTGCTGAAAAATGCTTTCACATCTATTATCGTATTTTAAAACAAACATGTAAATGACGTTAATTTAAGTAGAAAAAACATTAAATATAATTCTGACAGTACGGGGTAGTACTAAGAATGCCAGCTTTCCGGTTTCGACGTTAGAAAACATCATATCTATACGGTGCAAGATATGAAGTACAATCATTTATTTTACAGCGATACTGTGGTAGTGTAAGAAAAATGAAAAAACACACCGGGTTGATAAGCAACATGGAGCCGTGACCTACTTAAATGGTCCTCCTATGCGACTAGACGCAAGGATACGGTGCAGTATTGCAGCTCAATCCAGTAAAATGACTCCCATCTGTCTAATACTAGCGCATAATCGTTGTAAAGTTTAGAGTAATCGCCTTGCAAATCTAGTATCAACAATTGAAATGTATAAATTAAATGACATTTTTTACTTGTCAATAGGACTAACCTTCTGTTCGATTATCAAAAATTACTTCTGTCAGCTTTATGCGTCGAAATGGATAAGTTGGGAGAGCGTAGCCAAAACGCAGTGCCAAGAAAAGCGCCGATGTCAAGACTCTTTAGGACATCCAAAATGTCAAATACGTCATCGGTGTTGAAGTGTCCTGCGACGAAAGAACGCATTTTTCACGGACCTTCATAAAAGTGAAGTGCAAGACTTTATTTCATATCAGTCGCATTAGTCAACCTTATATAGGAAAAACTTGTGGTCGACCTGGCAGGATGTTTCATAACTAAAGTTACCTAAATTCATAACGGGGGTTGAACCCAAAAAGGTTGGCCATGAGGCTCTATTGAATTATTATAAAATGATGAATGGTAGTCATAACCAGCCAGTGAACTGGAAATGGGTTCTCTACCACTATTCAAAGTGTCAGCGAATGAACCATGGTTCGTGGAAGGCGAGGGTGGTCTCTGATTCACAATCGCCCACTGAAGTAATGTGGATGCTCTAACGATCATTATGTTTACCTTGCTCAAAAGAAACAGTGTATAAAAGGAAAACCAAGCAAAAAAATGTAAGTTTAAACTAGTGAACCAGTGTTGCGGGCCTTGGCTAGTCAACGTGCTTCATCGAACATATTCTTCTGACCGTCGCTACGCCCACCCCCCAGTCAACTATGTGCATACTGATGATGCCATACGCAACAATGGATGATTAGAAGAGAAACAAGATATTTCCTATGATACACCGAACATCCTACAAAGACTCCATTTGCCTCAATGAAACCATGTTTTAGTTCATAATATTGTTAGTTTTTGCCTGGGGTGTTAATAAATAATCGTTTATTATATATTTTATTAATAGTTTCAC